TATACCCTAAGTTTGTGAATCCACAGGGCAACAGAAGTTAGATCCCAAAAAAACCATTGGGTTTTCACCAGCAAGAAGCCTGTTGGGAGTGGCTGCAGTGAGCCGAGAATTTAGAGGAAATTTGATCACCATCTCCTCTCTCCTCACTTGCTTTCTGTTGGTGATAAAGTGAATGGCTCCTCAGTGCACACTGTGGCATACTCATCCTGCCTTTTCTAGTCCAGTTTATTCATATAAACATATCACACTCATATGAGTGTGATAGAGAGATTTCTGTACACCCAGCCCAGAGTGAGCTCTGCAGGAACCCAGAGCCAAGTCTGTCGTAATTTCTCCCTCAAGTGAAGCACACACAGGACAGGCAGTGGATAATGCCTCTTGCCAATTTCCAGACACCAGGGCGGTTGTCAGGTAAACCAGGAGCTGTTGGAGATGCTCGTGGTCATCATTCCTGGAGGTTGAATCTGGTCCTGGGGAACAAACAAGGGAGCAGGATGTGACTTAGGAATCCGGATCCACCAAACATCTCATTGGCTATTACTGTTTTCTTTCAGGATCAAAGACAATGTTTTAGGGATAGCAAAATGAGAAAACACTTGCAAATCAGCATTTGAAAAAGTATTGGAGTTAAGGTCAGAAGTTCTAGACTTGAATCAAATTTCTGACACAAATAGCTTCTCTTTTTTATCTTCTTGGTTGATTCTGACTCTGTTTCTCTGACTCTACCTTCGTCTCTCTGAGCCTCAGGTTTTCTTGCCTGTAGAACTGGCACCTATGTCTGCTTCACACCATGTACAGGAATATGGTAAAACCAAAGAGATAAGCTTTGTTACAGTGCTTATAAATGTAAAATGAGGGAGCATTTTTGTTATTGATTGCCATGAGTGCTGTGTTTTCAAGATGTTACGGACAAGGAGCTCTCTCAGTCTCCTCCATGGCCAATTGTGTTTTAGTGTGTGGACGACTGTCCCAGGTAGTTGTTCAGCAACCCATGAACCAAAAGCATTCCTTTTCTTGGAATTAGTAATTGGTGCCCCAAATCAGACCATAACAACAGAATTGAGTGTCAAAACCACTGCTGTTTTCCAAAATCATCAAAGTACCTCGTTAGAGTGAGCATCTGCATCCTTCAAGACAATTGCAGAGTAGTCTTTGGGTTTGAATTGGTGAATTTTTGCTGCTTGTCAGTGCATCTTCACACAGCCATAACAGGCATTCTCATGATGTAAAATTAGACCCTTTTGTAATTCATTTGTACAAAGTTTAAAATATGCAATGATGCATATTGCTCTAAACTTACTGTTTCTTAAAAAATTATATAAATAATATGGAGGAGTTGTAACAGTACTGAAACTATGAGAAGAAAGTAGCTATCCCACCAACTGAGATTACCATTATTAATATTTCAGTGACCAGTCTTTTATACATTTCTTCACATACATTTTATAATTTTACATCAATGGGATCATATATTCATACATTATTTTAAAAAAATCTTGGACACTTTCTGAGAGTTTTTTTTGGTTTGATGTTGCTCATTGCAAATTAAAAGTACTCCGTGTTGGTCAATCCTATCTTCTTAAAAATACCCAGGATCATTATGATTAGCAGTGTTCGTCTGACATGATGACCTCATTCCTACTGGGCCATCCGCTGGAGTAACCTTGCTGCTGAGGTTTACTCCAAGCTCTTACTTGGCAGCTGTGCAATATTTAGAGAATCATTGAATGTTTCCGGATATCAGATTCTTAGTCTGAACATTAGGGGGTTGGGATAAGTAATATCTGAGGTCCCTTCCATCACTATTCTTCTGAGAAAGTCTGTTTTGGCTGCCTCACCTGTAGGAAGTTCAGTCTGGGTATGTGGATGGATGGATGGATGAGTGGATGGAGGAATGGCTGGATGAGTGGATGGCAGATGGATGGATAGCAGATGAATGGATAGATGGTTGAGTGGATGATTGTGTGGATGGTGGAAGGATAGATGAGTAGATAGATGGGTGGATGAGTAGATGGATAGATGGATGGATGGTTGGGTGTTTCCAATAACACATTTCTTTCTGCTTATTGATTTTTAAACTAGTATATGATTAGTCTCCCCTGAGTACTTGTGAGATCCTCAAGACAGGGGTCATGTCCATTCCTCTTCATATTTATGCCACTGTTAAGAATGATGGTTGTTACATGGTAGATAGTCTTTAAAAGTGTTTGAATTAAACTGAAGGGAAAAATAAACAAGGTACTGTGATATGCAGAATAATAGTCCCCTAAAGATATCCACATCCAATTCGAGGACACAATCAGTTTGCCACATTAAACTAAGACTCAACGTCTAGGCACACATTCAGGCATGTGCAATGAAAAGAATTATATTAAATATTTTGCTTTAAAGTTATTTTTATTTTTTTTCCAGGGGAAGATTTGCCCTAAGCTAACATCTGTTGCCAATCATCGTCCTAACCCCCCTGCCAAGCCTCAGTACATAGGTTGTTCTATGTGAGCTGCCTCCGTAGCATGGCTACTGACAGATGAGTGGTATGGTTCTGTGCCCAGGAACTGAACCCAGGCCACCGACGTGGAGTGCGCCAAACTTTTAACCACTAGGCCGTCAGGCTGGCTCTGAAGTTATTTTTGAAAACAAACACAATTATATGTGTGTATATGTGTAAATAGAGCTCAGGCTCTAAAAATAAAGCTAAAATGTTTTTCGTAGCTAGTGAGCACCTGCAGATCAGTCACCCCTAAGAGGTGAGGGCTTGTCAGAGAGTTCCGGGTTCTGTGTGAGATTGTAGCTTATGAAAAGGAATAATAGATTAAAATTATTATTATAATTTGGGAAAAATGTCCTGAAGCCTGGAACCCCTGCTAGAGAACCAATTATTTGGGCTGAATGTAAAAAGTTACTCTAGGCTGCTCAGATGTAGGAGGCCATGAAGGCTTTTGAGAATTAGACAATAAGGAGCATTACGCCAAGACAAAAACAGATGGAAAGGTGCCCGTGTCAGGGGGCTTTTAAGTCTTTCACGGAGCTGAGCAGCCTTCACTGCTTCACCCATGCAAGAGGCTGAGAAGGTCTTGATCTGAGACTGTGTGCGGGAGGTGGATTTACACAGAGACAGGCTGCACTTTGATTACAATAGCCCCACAGAGAGATTGGAATCGAGTCCAGGGTGCCGTCGACAGCTCTCTCCATTTGGAGGGCAGTGTTTCCCCAACAGTGAGGAAGCTCACTGTAAGGAGCAGCTCTCTGCCACCTGTAAGCATAGAGCTTCACTCAAAAACACGCCTTTCCTTCCCTCCCCTCAAGCAGCCACTCTGCCGAGCCTGGATTGGGCGGCTCTTTCCTCCCGCCCACGACAGGGCAGGAGAGATGCCAAGAAGAGTGATTTCTTACTCTTCAGAGAGGCGAGAGGAAAGTCAGTGTTCCTCCAGCTGCTCCCACATCCGGAGCTTTGAGGTGGATGATGACACCTCTGTTCCCCAGGAGAATAGTAACGAGGGTGAAGCAACACACCTCCTAGAGCTCAGAACCTGTAAACAAGGGGACGATATAGCTGCATGTATGTTTGTATTCGTCAGGGTTCTCCAGAGAAGCAGAACCAAGGGGAAATACATAGACATAAAGAGATTTAGTATGAGGGATTGCTCATGCAATTACAGAGGCTGAGAAGTCCCACGATCTGCTGTCTGCATGCTGGAGAACCAGGAGAGCTGGTGGTGTAATTCAGCCCAAACCTGAAGGCCTGAGAACCAGGGGAGCTGATGGTCGAAATCCCAGTCCAAAGGCAGGAGAAAACCGGAGTCCCAGCTCAAGGGGCAGGAAGAATCCTCCTTCCTCGGCTTCTTGTTCTACTCAGGCTCTCGACAGATGGGATTGTGCCCCTCTGCACTGGAGAAGGCAGTCTACTGAGTCCACCAGTTCAAGTGCTAATCTCATCCAGGAACCCCACACAGACACATCCAGAAACATTGTTTAATCTGGGCGTCTGCAGCCAGTTGAGTTGACCCATAAAATTAGCCACCACACTGTTCATACTTAAAGTGAAGTCAAGGGCCACTGTTCTCCAGGACACAAGAAGAATTATCAAGGGCTCTACAAGTTTGTTTCATTCCCAGGATTCATTATTGTGACCCACATCTGAACGGTACCCCCCAGCTCAGAACACAACCTCACGTCTGACTTGAGCTTCAAATGAAGAATTGATTTGAGTCTGATTATAGCTGTAGGAGGAGTTAATATTTCCTCCATTTTATAGATAAGGAAGCAGAAGATGGAGAAGTTAAGTGACTTACAACATCTGGGAGCTACTGAGGGGGAGGGACTGAATTTAAACCCAGGGCTTCTGACTCCAGATTCCATGTTCTTTCCACTACCCCCTGCTGCCTTTCCTCTCCATCTAATTTATGAAGTGGAGAGCAGTTCCAAATGAACCCACAACCACAGGCTTTTCATGTGTGTTTTGCTCCTGGTGGTTGGTTTGGGTTACAGTCTGCGGCTGTTCTTTCTTCTGTGTGGGTTTGGCTGTGGGCAGGGAGTCAGCGAGTGAGCAGCAAGACCTCACTTCTACTTGGTCGAGGACGGCCTCCTGCTGAAGGTGGACTGTAATGGTTACTGTGAAAGCCGTTGTTATAAACCGAGCTCCTTTACTGTCAGGAAAATGGAAAGCAGACGTCATCAGGAAATGCAGCACAGACCCTTCTGTGCTGGTGAGTGAGGGTGCAAAGTCGTGGCCCGTCCATCACTGGATGTGTTTTTCTTTCTGTGGCCCTGGCCTCCCCTTCACTTGTGTGTCACAACAATCAGCCACGAGGCTTTTCTTGAGACCGTCTGTGGGCTCAGCTCCAGGTAAAGCGCTGGGGTCAGTGCTATCATCCTTGCTCCTGGGAGCCTCCCCGACCGCCTCGGTTCTTACCCAGTGTTCCCGCGGAGCCTGTGAGGATGGGTCCTGACCCACGTCACAGTGTTTGCCTCTAGGGTTTGCTTCCTGGTGTCATTCACCTGACTGTGAGCACCTGGCGGTGGCTTCTTGTTCGTCATGTGAGTACTCCCTGAGGTCATGCAGTGTACGGCCCATAGCAGGCACTCTATCAATGTTTGATCGATAAATATGTAAATTGATGAAATAAAAATATTGATTCTACTCCCAGCCATTGAGTTGGAGAAACACAACAACACACCTGCAACAGTGAGGGAGTGGCACGAGATAGTCCATGTTAACGCCGCCTGCGTGTGGAGCGTAGGTGCATTACAGGCTCCTGGGGACAGAGGAAAGGAAGGCGGAATTGTGGTCGGTGCAGGACATTAACCGGCCTTGAGGGAGAGCTCTTTGTGATTGGGCTTAGGAAGAGGAGAGCAGGGGAGGGGATGGAGGGTGGAAAGCTGCTGCCCTGGTCAGCCATGACCCGTCTGTGAGGGCAGTGTGTGAAGCTGCTAGTGGGAGATGAAGAGGACCGAGAGGAGGGCCGGGGTCGTGGAAGTCTGGAATGCCAAATGGCAGAGCCGAGGTTCGCATGGGAAGAGAGATGTGAGTGGCGCTGGGAAACACTGGGAGGGTGTGAGGCAGATGAGTGACCGGCTGCCACTGGCAGGATGCATAGCTTGCAGAGAGCTGAGGGCTGAGAGAAATGTGTCCCAATGGCTAAAGTCCAGGCAGCAGGCAGGGAGAGGGACAGCTGGGCAAGAGAGAGGAGAGGCCACAGAAAGAGAGACAGCATGAAGGGAAGCATCCATAAGATCTACAAATATTGGTAAATACGGTGATATTTCATTTTTCATAAAATGAAGCATAGTTGACTACTTGTTTGTTTTGTTGGCGGTGAAACTGTTGGCGGTGAAAGTGTTTTCATTTTTAGGATTCTGCCTGCAGACACCTATTAGTCATCATTTTGTGAATCAGCTAGACTCTTCTGGGAACAAAAAACGTTCTTGAGATGATTTACATAAGGTGGGAGCTACCTGTGTTTGCAGAGATAGTCCCAGCTGTGGCCCATGTTTATTCATAGTTGAGTGTAGAGAGAATTCTCCCGTGGCCGGGTTTGCAGCACGGGGAAGCAAGGTGAAGGACCAAGTCTTTTTTCCCTAGCCCAGGTGTTAGGTTAGTTCCCTAGAGTTCCGGAGAAGCTAGTCTGTGCTCCACCTTTCCCTATGGTCACCCCTGCCTACCTCAGTCAGTGGCTGACCCGTGCCTCTTGGCAGGGGTGACACTGTGAAGAGCAGAGTTGGGACAGACCACCTCTGCGCACTGGCAGAGCTGTCAGAAGGAAGTTTCCAAACAGCTTCTGGTCACAGCCTCTACATGTTCACTCTCTTAACCACAGGACTCATCTGCAAATTTTTATGGAAAAGTGGCAGAAAAGAGCTCTTCAAAGTCTTCTGTAGCCACAAGGCTGCCTCTCCTGGTTCATGCTGGCGCTGATGCAGGAATTGTGTCCAGATTTCTCATTGGCATCAGCCTTTCTCCTATATTCTCTGAGCTTTTGGAAGCATCACTTGATTTTTATTTCCAAATGCAGTCACGTAAGGAGGGCAGGAAATTTTGCCTCTGATTTATAATAGAATTGGTGAGTATTTCTACCCTAACTCTAACCAGCAGCTCCACCTTGAAGGAAGGTGGGACTTGGGAATGGGATCCTGTGGATCAGGCCTTTAGGAGCCTCTTCCTCTCTCACTGAATCCAGAGCCAGCCTCTTCCCTGCCTTTGGTGCAGAACTGAAAGCCAGCAGGGGATCTCTGAAGCCAAAGGGAAAGGCAAAGCCCAGCCGATCCTAGGGTCCCAAACACTTTTCTTTCTCCAAAAATGCACCTCAGGCCTTCTCCTCCAACTTGCTTATTTTTATAACTATTCAAACTGCCTTGACTCTGTGAGGCCGTGACTGGTGGGGAGGAGGGGGCTCCAGAATGGGACTGGGAGCTCAGTGGCGGGGGACAGGGACAAGCCTCATCCTCCTGGCACAATGCTTCCTGTGCTCGGTTTCCTGGTGAGGAGGCGAGTTTGGAGGCACTTGCCCCAGCTGGGGACATGCTGGCATCTGTCCCTCATTCACCTTCTCTGGGAGCCTGCAGCCTCACAGTGGGGTTGAGCGCCAGGTGGGGTGCGGTGGTGGTCTGACAGCCACGTTGGGACGGATGAAGGTGAGACCTCCAAACCCTTACTGCATTTGAGATGCTAATTTCATTTGCCAATTTAGTTTTCAGTCAAAATCCATTTTTCACTCTAATTTTTGTTTTATGCATGTTGTCATAAATGGAGGGGAAAAAAAGACAGCCTTCCCAGAATGATCGAATCTTCCATAAAATGAAAGCCGTGTCCTGAGACAGTGCCCACTCAGTGAACCAAGAGGAGGGGAGAATCCTTTAGCCATCAGCCTTGGAAACATGGTAGGCCTGTCTTCAAAACTATGGCAATGGGAACACTTTTACTAATCTGTGTGTTTCTTATTTTTAAAAACTTCTTGGGTAATTTAAGACCGATGACAATTTCTTGCAAATCTTTTACACTCTGAAGAATTTCTGTTCCAATGTGATGTTGGAAAACAGAGAATCCTTGCCTAAAATTCACATCATCAAAGCTATTCAACAAACTAATTCTCAACATGAGGACAATTTAGATAATAATAAAAAATTATTAATGCATATATTACTTTAAGCTCTACTATTTCTGTTTTTAAAACTTAAAACACTATTTTTTCTGGGAAGTTATGTGAACAGTTCAAATATATAAACTTGATTGCTTACTATTAAATATCTGGGCATGTGGTATTCACTTGGGTACTTAAAATAGTAAAATAATTAATTAGTCATGGAATGTATATATCGGCATTTAACGAACACAAGCACATCGAGTTTTCTTCTGATGAGTGTCAACTGGTAAAAATAACAACCACATTTACAACTGTAATTTTGGAAGCTGCCAGGTGATCATTAAAATCTCTTCTGGTCCCATGAAACCATTTGGACACCTTTCCCACACCCTCCCTATGCTTGACTTCAAGGGAGTAATTCAAAACTCGTACTTTCCCTTCAGCACCTGTTGTCCTAAAATTGTTTATTACAATGGTTCCCTTGGGGCCGGCCCCGTGGCTTAGTGGTTAAATGCACGTGCTCCGCTACTGGCGGCCTGTGTTCGAATCCCGAGCGCGCACCTACGCACACTTGTCCGGCCATGCTGAGGCGGCGTCCCACATACAGCAGCTAGCAGGGTGTGCAACTACAACATACAACTACCTACTGGGGCTTTGGGGAGAAAAAGGGAAAAAAAGGAGGAGAATTGGGAATAGGTGTTAGCTCAGGTCCAGTCTTCCTCAGCAAAAAGAGGAGGATTGGCATGGATGTTAGCTCAGGGCTGATCTTCCTCACAAAAAACAAAAACAAAAAAACAATGGTTCCGTTTTACCTCTGTCATCAATCCAAACTCTCTTTCATTCAAAGCTCCTCAAATCCAGCCCTTATACATAGATCTTGAAATTATAGGATGCAGAATCTGGAAGGACTCTTACATATCACCGACGCCAGTGATTTTGAAAGCACATCCTAAAAATTAGCTCCGATTTATCCAATGGGTTATCCAATGGATAATGTTGACGGTGTGGAGGGAGGCCGGGAGTCCTGCTGCTAAGTGTGCTTTTACCTGAGACTCTCTTTCTGGTGGGGTCCTAGAACTAGGTCTGTGGAGAACAGGATTTTAAAGCACTGCCTTAGACCGACTCCTGGAGGCTCAGAAAGAGGAAATGAATATTGTTTATATATTACAAAGAGAAGAACATATTTAATTTTAATAAAGTGGTTCACCATAGATTTGTTCAATGTTCTACCTGGTAGAGTTGAAGAAGATAGTTGCAGGGTTCTTGAGGACAGGAATAACATCTTCACATTTTTGTATCCCCAGCATTTTGTTAAATGTCTACATAATAATGGACACTTGATGAGATGGAAGGGTGAAGGAGGGAGGGAATGAATGAATGAACGAAGTCTTAAGACCCAAACAAGCTCTTAAAGAACCAGTGCAGACAGACTGAGTGCGAAGTTTCAGAGAGACAAAGAGCGTTGCTTTGGAGATGGGAGCTTGTAAATATTTTGTAGACAGGGTGGTTTCTAATCCCTATAATTTAACAGTCCCAGGACCCATATAAGAGGCTAAGGAACACAGCCTTGCCCATGAGTTGTGTGAAAATGTCTTCCTAATGTAAGTTTTTCTGGAATATAAGGCAAGAAAATACATCATGACAGGCACATAGGCATTTTGGATATGTATTGTCTTTCATTTTCAGGCTTATTCATTCCCAACCTGTTGATGCTGAGGTCTCTGGGTTTTGAGATTGGCAGAGTAGACACTGGGGGATTCAGGAGTGGGTACTCAACAAGAGCAGGCTCATCTGGGAGAGGTAAAGTAGGAGGCTAGACCCAGACTTTCCTGTACTCCTAAACGAGGAGGATTCTTGAGAAAGAAGTTGGGAAGGTATGAAACTCCTTGCCCTGCATTTTTATCTACCTCTGCTGACCTCTCTCATTCTTCTAAAAAAACAAGCAAACAAACAAAACCTGGGGTACCCCTTTGCTTTCCCTGTTGAGTGTGGTTAAATGTGCCAGATGCCACCTATGAAGAGATCTCACTTGAAGAGTGGAGAATCTGGTGCAAGGTACCCACCAGCTCATCATCTGGAGAACTTGGGAGGCCCTTCAAACATACGGATTCCTGGGCCTTTCCTCCAGAAATTCTGACTGGTCTGGGGCCTGGGAATCTGATGTTTAAGAATCTGATGACTAGCCAGTTTTGGAACCACTTGTTTAATGGAGGATCACACTCTACTGAACATCCTTTTTCTCCCACCATGTTCGTTCATCATCCTCCACTGTGGTCTTCCAGCACACCTAGAATTGAATAGTGTTGGCCACTCAAGTACCCCATGATGTCACTGGAGTATTCAGGGCTGCTGGTCACAGCAGAAAGCCCAGTGCCAACAAGCACATTTCCTCAGGAAATTGTTCCATCCCCCAGCCATCTCCTGTTATTCCTCTCCCTTCTCCTGGGAGACATCAATTTGTCAAGGCCCTTTGCTTTGTAAGCAGTAGACTGGGACACTCAGGGCTTCCTTCATACATGGCAGAGCCCTGGCCCTACAGACTGGTTGCCCTCCTGGTCTCAGAGACACTAGTTCCTCCACTGCTATCCATCGTGGAAACCAGACAGCACTCTTGCCTGTTACCAAGAGCTTCAGTCCCCACAGTGTTAAAATCCCCTGCAGATTAGATCTTGGGTAAATGTTTGCATTTCTGCTTATGGCCCATTTATTCAGTCCGTTATAACTATTCATTTGGAATCATATACCTTTAGACTAGAAAAGAGCTTGGGTATTATGGCATCCAGTTCCTCTATTTTATAGGGAAACTCTACCAAGAGAGAGGAAATAATTCAACCAAGGAGACCTGTCATTTAGAGTGGAGCCTAGGACCAGAACCAGCCCAGCCCCCTTGCTGCCTGGCTGCAGACTCAGGGAATAAGAAAGTGTTTGTAGATTTAATATGGTCACCTACGAAAAGAGGCTTCTTTCCTCTATATGTGTAAAAATCCATAAGCTGAGCAGATCAAAGCTCTTGGGACCTCAGACAAACGTTTTCCCGGATTCTGCAAGCAGATATCATGTTCTCTGATGTATTTTCCTGCAACCTCTTCACAGTCT